ATCATTTTCCTGTAAGTGAGCCAAAGATCAAGAGTGCAAATTTTGCAGGAAAGAGTTAACTTAGCAGGTCTTAGCTGCTCAAAATTTGCACACTCCCTAAAGAGTTTATTTTCACTAAAGGCTCTTGTCCAACTACTAGGAATTGAGCTCTTAGAATGTTTTAACTCACAGCACTGTTTCTGTACACTCAGAGCTTTGAGATACACTGTACCAATATATCTAGGTGGTCTGTGTAAATAATGTGATATATGGTGAACACTTGCTTTCCTTAGGTGATCTGTTTTGCTAACTGATCAATCATCCAGGCACTGGGTACCTATGTGACCAGATCCCAATAAAAACTCTGGAGTCTTAAGCAAATGAACTTCCCTGGTAGACTATACTTTGCACACATTATCCCATCTATAGATAGAGGAATTAAGTGTATCCTGTGCAGTTCTACCAGAAGAGGACTCTTGGAAGCCTGTACCTGATTTTCTTCAGACTTTATCCTATGCACCTTGCTGATTGTGCTTCATATTCTTTTGCTATAATAAATCATAATCATAAACATAATGAATTCTGATTCCTAATGAGTTCTGTGAGTGGTCTGGGGGAACCTTGACATAAGCACACATAGAAATACCCAATTAACATAAAAGAAAGCAGTAATGGAGGAACAGAGAAACAAAAGAAGATATATAAGATATATAGAAAACAAATAGCAAAATGGCAGATGTAAACCCTACTTTGTTACTAGTTGCATTAAATATAAATGAAAGAATAACAGCAGATGTATCAATAACATGCAAGAAAGATGAGGAAGCAACATCTTTATGCTACTGAAAGAAAAAAAAACTGCCAACCTAAAATTCCACACTGGTGAACTATCTTTCAAAGCAGAGGTGAAGGAACTTCCCTTGGCCATCCAATGGTTAACATGCCACACTTCCACTGCAGCAGGGCACAGATTAGATCCCTGGTTGGGGAAGTAAGATCTTGCATGCTGCATGGCACAGCCAAAGAGTAAAAAAAAAAAAAAGCAGAGGTGAAATGAAGACTTTTTCAAATATACAAAAGCTGAAAGAACCTCTTACTGGGAGACCTGCACTATAACAAATATTAAAGGAAGTCTTTTGTGTAGAAAGAAAAATAATATGTGAAACCTGAATATACACAAAGAAATAGAAAGCACCCAATATGGATAAATTAAAATGACTTTTCCCCTTATTTCTTCTTATATAGCTTTAAAAGATAACTGTTGAGAGCAAAAAATAATAACAACACATTACAGAGTTGAACATGTGTAGAAGCAAAATGTATGACAATAACAGCACAAAGGCTGGGGAATGGGGAATGGAAGCATTTTAAGTTCTGAAATGTGAAATAGATTGTGATAAGTTAAAGTTATATATACTATAAGCCCTAAAGAAACCACTAAAAAAGCATTATATCTAATAAATCATTAAAAAAGACAAAATGGAATCATAAATATTCAATTAATCCAAAGAAGCTCAAAAAGAAGACAAAGCAAATAAAGAACAAATGGGACTTAACAGAAGGCAAATAGCAAAATGGCAGGTTAAAACCAAGCATATCAATAATCACGTTAATTAAAATGATTTAAACACACCAATTAAAAAATAGATTGTTGAACTGGATTACAAAAAGAAAGATCTAACTTCAGGCTTCCTGAAGGAAATCCTGGGTTAAATATAAAAACACAATAGGTTAAAAGTAAAAGAATGAGAAAATATACCATATACTATCAAAAGAAAGCTGGAATGTTTATATTAGTAACAGCCAAAGTAGATTTCAGAACAAAGAATATTACCATGGATAAAAGGAGACATTTCATAATGACAAAGTGTCAATCCATCAAGAGGACATAACAATCTTAAAAGTTTATGCACTTAACAACAGAGCTTCAAAACACATGAAGGAAAAACTGATAGAATTGAAAAGAGAAACAGATGAATCCAAAATTTGTCAGAGATTTCAACACCCCCTCTCAATAACTGATGGAAGGAATAGACAGAAAATTTGTAAATAAATCAAAGACCTGAGCAACACTATCAATCAACATAACCTAACTGACATTTATAGAACACTCCATGCAACAACAGTAGTTATACACATGCTTCTAAAGCACACAGGGAAGATTTACTGAGACACTATATTATGAGCCATAAAACAAATAATTTAAAATTGAAAAAGACTCAAATCATATGAAATGTATTCTGAATTAAATTAGGAGTCAATACTGAAAAGGAATCTAGAAAATCCAATAAATATTTGAAAATTATATAGCACATTTCTAAACAGCCTTAGGTAAAAGAAGGAATCAAAAGGGAAATGAAAAAGTATTTTGACCCAAATGAAATGAAAACACATCTTTAAATTTGTGGGGTATAACTAAACCAGTATGTATAAGGAAATTTGTACCATTAAATGCTTACGTAAGAAGAAATGTCTGAAAAAAAAAGAATGTCTGAAATCAAGTTATGGCCACCAGACCAGCAACATGTGTATCATCAAGGAATTCACATATGCAAGTCCTTGGGCCCTACTTCAGACCTACTGAACCAGAAACTCTAGGTGTGAGGCCCAGCCATCTGTGGCCCTCCAAGTGATTCTGCAGTACCTTCAACTTTTGAGAAACACTGATGTATACTGCTTCTTGTTTTTATTGTGTGAGGATTTCTTCAACAAGGAGTCTACAGTTTATACTGTGGTGAAGTTCATGTCATTAAAAACAATATAGTTTTGAATAGTATGCTAATTTTTTGTCATTTAGAAAACTTCCTGGGCTCAGAGAGTCTGGGCAAGTGATTGTACTGTGCTTAGTCATTCGGTTGTGTCTAACTCTTTGTAACCCCAAAGACTGTAGCCTGCCAGGCTTCTCTATCATGGGGATTCTCCAGGCAAGAATACTAGAGTGGGTTGCCATGGCTTCTCAACCCAGGGATTGAACCTGGGTCTCCCGCATTGCAGGTGGATTCTTTACCGTCAAGCCACCAGGAGAAGCCACCAGGCAAGTGATTAACCCTACAGATAATGCTTCATTTGCTAAAAAGATCTAAACTTCAGAAGATATAGTTACAACTCTTCTTGAAATCTCCAGGGGAAATGTAACCCCACTGAATAATTCCTACTGCCTATAGTAGGAATTCTTTTCATGTGGGAGCCAAATATAATCAATTACCAATCATGTATAGTGAAGAAAAGGAACAGAGACATATTAAATTTAAATAGCTGATAATATAAAATTAATTTGCTTGAAATATGGTTTTATAACTATACTCAAATATGAATTTGTCTCATGTTCTAGAAAGTCACTTCTAACAAAATATTGAAACCCTAATATAAGCACTAACTCAGAAGCACTGATGCCTACAGTGGTAGACATCATCTTTCCAACTAATTCAATGCATCAACCTAAAGAAGATCTGGTCTCTATCTAAATTTGCTGACTTACCTCTTTCCTGGGACAAGGAGAGAAAGATTTTGGTTTTAATGCACTTCAGTTACAGCTTCTGCTAATCAGGAAAGAAGGAAATCCACATTGTATCAAAATACTTAACTGACAAGTATAGATGATAAGAACATGAAAGCAACATTTGCCTTGGAAGAATTGTAATATGGATAATCTATTAATCTTGGTTTGTTATGACAGTATTCAAAAATAAAGGGGAAAATACAGCGAAGTGCTTCTAGACTCCAAAGGGAAAATGTAATCCATTCTATACCAGTTTTTCTTCCTTTTCCCAAATCTTTGCTGACTTCTATCAGCTTTGGTTTTCTAAGAAACTGCCTGCTGCCCTTTTGGGGTTTTTTTGTTTGTTTGTTTGTTTTAAACAGAAGCCACAACAGCTGCCTATGGAGCTATGGGAGTATAATTAATCAAGTAATCAACCAGCCACCACTGTTAAAATGTTTTAATATCAATGTAAAATGAGATCAGGGTTTTACAAGCAAGTTTCAGAATGTGAACATTGATTTCTAAGATGATTTCTCTTCTTTTCAGAAGCCTAAATATGAACACATATAAATCTTAGGGTTTTTTTATATCAAGGTATTTTTCCCATTTTAATACAACTATAATTGACAAACATGCAACATAACTAAGCTCCAAATCAAAGACTTTTAGTAGAAACATCCAAGTGAAAAATGAAGCATTTTAATTTACTTATTGGCCATAAACTCAGCAAGAAACCATCTTTCCTCCCATATCTCAGAAAAACCAACACCAACTAATTTATTTCTAGTGCATCAATACCATTAACACTATTTAGCCCTCCTTTGTCAGCATCCAGATATCCTTGGTTCAAACTAAGTAAATTAATGTCACAGTTCCAGTGCTGGAAATGCCCCACTGTCCTCTTCACTGCATTACACTGACAAGGCACCTACCAACAATGCACAGGGTAGGAAACAAGCCGTGAAGAACATAATGGCTTGACTGAAGAGTGCCAACTGAGTGCCAATTGAGTGAGGATATTAGCGGAAACATAAAATTCTAGGAGGTATTCTTTTTTCATTCTCTCCAAGTTACCAACATGTATAGTACCGCAAAGTAAAGAGTAGGGGAAGGTGACAACAGCCACATGCATGAAATCTCCCTAGAACTAAAAGCAAACTAAACAAAATGCAAACTATAGTAGACCAATGAACTGACTTCCATTTGGGTTTTATTTGTGGCTGCAAGCAACCTCTAGACTGAGATTCATAAATTAGGGAAAAGTTTCAATGCACTGAGGGATCAGCAATTTGTATAAGAGCATTATTGAAATATTTTCAGAGTTTTATGTGCTTCATTGTTGAATTCGGTACCAACAGTTAAGAAATAACTAAAAAAAAAAAAACCTCAAGTATTTCCTTTTTACTATACCTACTTCCAAACATTACAAACTATCTTTAACACAATTTTCTATGTCATTCCTTAAGTGAAATAGCCAAACAGGCAGAAACTCAAAACATAACTGTAATATTACACAGAAGAATAATTTTCCTCCAATAACTTAGTCTGTTCCAAAGTATTTCTGTCCGAAATGTGTAGGTGCAACAGGATGAACTTCAGTAGTTAAAATTGTGATCTCTGGAAACTCTTGAATGATTGATTTGGCACCTTAAAAAATAAAAGAAAAATTGTCATTATGGTGGGATTTTTTTGTTAACATTACCTGGAATTCAGTAATTTTATGGTCAATCAGTAGGTCTACTACTGACAGAAGACAGAGAGCAATGACCTTTGGACAAATAGTTAGACTTGCTTAATCTTTTATTTATATAATTTCTGATACCTGCAAAGTTTTTATAGTAGTCAGACTATGTTTCCACCATTCACTAATAAATTCTTAGAATCAAACTGTTTTGTATTCAATACATGAAAAATATTCAGTTATAGCAACTTTTCCCCTAATGAGTCTTGTTTGTTTTATTTTAAAGGCAGCTGAAATAGAGAGAATACAGTCCCTTCTGGAAACAGGATCATACATTAGATGATGGTTTCTCAATTGGAACACTGTTGAAACAAGTGCTAAGATTTTTTTGATATGTCACAGAAAGCTAGTTTTTTAGAATTTATAACTCTAGCCTGGGTGGGGAGGAGGTGGAGGAGGAAAGGACAGGGACTAGCTTGGATCCCAGTCAAACTAAAAAGCCATAGCAAGGATGCCACAGAATAAGATTTTTTCATCCATAATGTCAAAGAATGAGTATCCTATTCTAATGTATACTATTAGAACTAACACAGTTACTTTTCTACTCCAAAGATAGAAAACCCAATAATTATCTGGTTATCTCAAAATTTACAATGCTACCTCTGTTATATAGACAGATGACCAAGCAAATCCGCCTTTGTAACCATCAACATTTGAACTACAGGTAATTTTTTATTATGAAACAGCAAAATAATCAATGGCCTACTAAGTGTGACTCTCTCAATTAGTTTCTCTGTAGCCTCTTGATGGTTGACTGAGATACGGAACCTTTGGAAATGAGGAAATGCTCTAACTAGAAGCAACACATTTCTCTTTCTTATGAAACAAATACAAATTCATTGCAGAACATTTGGAAAATACAAAAAAAAAAGCTTAAAAAATAACATAAGTCACTTAGAATTCCACCACCCTAAGACAACCACTATTAATTTAAAATAAAAATTGAAATAGTATTGTGCATCTGTCTAGCCTCTCATGCTGAGGAAAGACTTATTAGGTTTCATGTTAAATCCAAGTCTGATTTTGGTAGTCATAATAATTTGTATCAGTCATCTCTAAATTTGGTGATGACATTTTATCCTATTCTAATGCTGTTGTGTTTCTGTTGTTTTGATTGACCAAATTTTTTTATTGTTGCAATGATGTCAAAAGATATCAAATTTTACATTTTAAATATGTGATATATTGTATGTCTATTATATCTCAATAAAGTTGCTAAAAATAGATTGATCAAACGTGAGAAAAACTGTAAGCAGGTCCTAGATATGACCTTCCTATATGTAAAGCTAAAGTCACTCATTTTCTGACTCTTAAAAAAGTCTGTAGCCTAACTCATAGTTCTGAAGGTCAACAGGAGACTGTGGTGATGGCTGAGTGGTCAGCCTCACTAAAGCTATTTATTCTGCTCTTACATTTAGATTTTCTGACATCATTAAATATTTTTTCAAAAACATGATTTAACAGTTTTATAATATTACATACAGTTGATCCTTAAACAACATGGAGGCTAATCCACATATAACTTATAGTCAGCCCTCTGTATCTGTAGTTCCTCTACATACATGAATTCAACCAACCATGGATTGTGTTGTACTATAGTATTTACTACTGAAAAATATCCACATATAAGTGGATCCATGCAGTTCAAACCCACATTGTTCAAGGGTCAACTGTATATTTATTTAACCATTTCCAAGTAAGTCAGTTATATACTTTCAAATTTTTTCTTACATGAAAATGATAGTCTCTCTAATGACTATCCTAAACACTAAACTTCTCCATACCTTTATGATTATTTTTTTAGGATACTTTCATAATTGTCTTAGCTTATATGGCAAAGAAACCCAGTGTCTTAAATTAGGCTTACCTCTCTCAGGAAATGGAGAATGCAAGTTCTTTCATCATGCCCTTTGAGCAGAAGTCTAAGTTTAAAAACTTCCGCTCTTTGCTTCATACTACAAAGCTTACTTCAAAGGACCATAGGGCTAGCTAGAACCTTGATTTTCTTGCTGTTTGAGAGCAGTTCTCAGGCTCAGGTGGGGAGCCAGGAGAAATGGGGACCTTTCAGCCACCAGAAAGCTCTACTCAAACAGGGCCACTATGAAAACAATTGCAATTCCCTTCAGTGTGGCTAGTTCATACTTTTCCATTTGAATTTGAACAACATTAGAATGGATGAATGGTGTAAAGTATTACAACTAAGCTTAGAGATGACAAACACAAGTTATAATTATCAAAATTCAGTTAGGAATTAATGTGAAAGCAAATGAACTTTTCTTCAGGATGAATGGTTGGACAGATGCACACTTAACCACTCCATGACCATCGAGAGCCCCAGTTGCTGCCTCTTGTTGAACTCACCATGAGGAGTGGAGAACAGACTGAGTAGGATAATAACACTAGGTTGAACTCCATGTTCTATGAGAACCTTTACAGCTTCAATTACAGTATTTCCAGTACCTGAAATCAAATGAAAATCAAATGCATTGGCAACTTTAACATTCATCTCAAAATATCTTTGAAGTTGCTTCAAAGTAAAAGCAGTTTAGTAATCTAATATAAGATACTACTAGATAAAGCTTCATTTGAAGATGTCTGGGTTTTTTTTGGACTCTGTGGGAGAAGGCGAGGGTGGGATGATCTGAGAGAATAGCACTGAAACATGTATATTATCAAATATGAAACAGATTGCCAGCCCAGGTTGGATGCATGAGACAAGTGCTCAGAGCTGGTGCACTGGGAAGACCCAAAGGGATGGGATGGGGAGGGAGATGGGAGAGGAGAATCAGGATGGGGAACACATGTAAATCCATGGCTGATTCATGTCAATGTATGGCAAAAACCACTACAATATTGTAAAGTAATTAGCCTCCAACTCATAAAAATAAATGAAAAAAAAGATGTCTGTTTTTTATAAATGATGTTATTTTCAATAACAGATGTAACCCACATACTTTTCAGCTTTCAAATGCACAAGCCCTAAATTCATTCAGTATTTGAGATATCAACTGTAATACCCACCTGCTATCCCGAACTCTAGGATCTGAGCAAGCATAGGAAAAGACTGTAATAGGAGAAAAAACTATTACCTCCAAAGAGGATAAATCCTTGAGAAAATCATTGCTATACGCTGAGCTAGAAAAGGGACATATTTCAGTATATATTCTGTGTTCTATATATTTTGCCTCATTAAATCTTTTGCTTCAATCTGTTAATCTTAAAATAGAAGTTTTTTGGAGCTAATAAAGTTTGACTAATGTGTATTTTCTTATTACACAATAAAAATTCCCCAGAGAACTACCCAGGTCAACTCCAAATCCAACTGAGAAAAACAAAAAAAGAACACATTTAGGAACAGTTTCATCTTTAAAGAAGGGTACCTAGAAGGTAGGCACTAAGCTGAATTTTAACCCTAATCAAAGGTTACAAATTAAATACAAGCAACTCACTGAGAATTGGATACATCAGAAGGACTTTTCTTCTGTAAATGTCTGGGGGGAACTTGGCATAATATACTTTGGCTCTTTGTGTCTCCTCATCACTCTGAATCAGGATCTTTCCAATTCGTATGGATCGACAGCAGTCTCGTAAACCTTGTTCCATTGCCTCACCTTGAAGTAGGAAATAAAAAAGAAAGAGTGATTAAGAGTAGATAGAGTGAAAGTTCAAGAATAAGCTAAAGTAGAGCTTGTGACTATTATTAACACAATAAAGACACTGTCAAAATGGAAGCAATTCTTCTTAAGATAACAGCTTTCACTTCTGATAAAATATGGTTTTATACTTAGTTCAGGTCAATGAAGCTAGATTAAGGGCTAGTCAACAAAACTAGGATAAGCTAACTTTATTGCTGGCTTACAAGTTTTAGAGTTGTCATGCTTCCATGATTACAGGTAATAAAGCATTTAAGCTGCTCTCTGAACTTTTCTATATCAGGAACATTTTAATTCTATTATTTTAAGGACATTGTATTACTTTCATCTGACAAAAATATAGAATATTATGGAATAATGACGGCTATAGACCAAAGGCTCTCCATTTAGATCAAGCTGATATCAAGAGATATCATGTAGCCCCAGCAATGACTTCAACGGCAGAGGCTTGGCTGGCAAACAGTGAAAAAGTAATAAGCTGTTCCCTCTTCCCCCAGAGATCCAGACCAAAACCACCATCATCCCCTTGGTTTCTGAAGGTAAAGCTATTTTTGAGTCTGAATTCATTTAAGGAAGTGTTTGCTAAAAGTCAATCATTCTCACATCATCTTCAAGATTTTAGGCCACATCAAAATTCTTCTTATACAGTTATTTACTTAATATTTTTCTTTAAATTAATTATTTTTGTTTACATTTAAGAGGAAACTTTATATCACTAGTTAAAATATAAAAAGTTTCTTTCTAATAGATATGGAAATAAACCAAAAGCTATTAAAGTTAAAAACACCCTCTCTGTGCATCACTCCAAGGTCATCTGGTATACACTAGGGGTGTGAGGATCATGTTGCTGCCTTTAGGGCAGAAGCTGGACTAAAACAGAAGAAATTGTGCCTTAAAAGTCCATTTCCATTGTCTTTACCAGTTTTAAAAGGTTGAACAGCATTGCTCTGAAAATCCCATCACTACTTAAGAGCTACTTTCTATTTTTAAAAAAGGAGCTTAAAGCTCCTATTCTATTTGAGATACCCAATTGTTCACAAACAGAATTTCATAGCCAGAGAAGCAATGGGAATGTTTATATGTGAAAAAAAAATCCAGGGACTTTCCTGGGGGTCCAGAGATTAAGACTCCACACTCCCAGTGCAGAGGGCATGGGTTCAGTCCCTGGCAGAGCAACTAAGATCCCACATGCACAAGGTTCAGCCAAAGGGAAAAAAATCCATCTATTTCCAATGCAAGCAAGTGGGGATTCTACCATACCCTGGATCTTGTACAAAGAATAATTAATGAATTAAGTTGTCAGATGGAAATAATCATCCCCATGTAACAGGTATAGGTCCTAATTACAGGTATGTGATTTTGCTGCACAAAGGTTAATTTACAAGGGCAACTGGTTGGACTCAAACACAAACACATTAGACTAGCAATTGGAAATACCTAGGGTTAATCACAGTTAAGTTCTTTTGCCTACATAATCACATACTCATCAAATATAAAACTAAAAATATTAAACCATTCAGTCCAGCTCGTGACAGGGTAGGACTGTTCCTCACAAAAGAAATTTAAAAATCAGAACAAAGATTTTCTCTAGTCGGGTGCTCAAAGTTCTATAGGTCTGAATTTGTGCTATTACATATTCCATCAATCTTCAAGCTTCCCTATTCTCTCCAAGATAGTATCATTACATCCTCCTATTCTTCCACTCTTCTCTGAATTTTTCAAAGCTGGCTTGCCCATGGGTACCCACCACTAGGGAAGATGCTCTGCAATTAAAATTAGCCAAACTCGGCAACACATGGGCTATGATTCAAAGGCACTATGAGGATAGATAATACAGGTGGTGAGATTTAAGCTCAGGAGACAAGCCTGCCTCTCAGAAAACAGCAACTGTATCTAAGAATGCAAAGAGACAAAGTCACACATACACAAACCTACCGCTTCTCATTATGCTGACCCCACAATTTCCCTTTTCAAATTTCACTCCTTCATATTTGTACCCTGTTGGGGGAATAAAACCAAATAATTTATCTTTCATCATTGGAGCAACTATTTAATAAAGTATCTATGGTTTAAAGCAGATGGGCACAGAAAAACTCTTGCCCAGACATACTGTATAACATCTTAAGTTCCCTGTGAAAGCAATAAGAAGAGTCATGATTGTTCATAGTTAATTCTTCATAAGAAACCTGTGGGAATAATTGGGAGAGGCAGACTTCATCGAGCAGGAATAAGCCTTATGATAGCATGATATTCACATACACGTTTCTTAAATTGAATTCTGAGGAGAACTGTTGCATTCCAAGAATGCTAGAAACCCCATAAATTCAAACTAGGAGCCCACTGTGAGCCACAGCAGAGAGCCTCCTTATTCCTGTCCACTTTTATTAACCTGCATTCTGTGTTTAAAAGCAGAAGAGAAAGATTGAAGTAATTATCAAGACACATTCATACCTTGGTCTCAGACTGAATTTGTATCAATTTTGATGCAGCAAGCTTAGTCCCTAATTTTCACAAAATCAACCTTTGGATATAACAGTTTCCATTATTTAATAAAGAACCATATCAGAATTTCAAATCCCTAAAATAGGGATCCTTGACTGCTCTCTGTTAGAGCAGAACAAATCTAAATCCTCTTCTCCAATCCTCATCGTTTTTATTTTCTTTTTTACTTTTCCTTCTTTTACCTGGAGTTTCCATTGCTAAACCACCCTACTCATTTGTTAACACCAACATCTTCCCCACAAAGGTGAAGGTAAGCCGACAGCAATTCTTAGCTTGGGTCCCAATGTGCTGTCATCAAAGGTAACATCCGAATGCTGAAGAATATTTATTAACCTTTAACTTAAACTGACAAGTAAGCTATTAACAAGTCATTCACATAAATTTCTTTACTAAATGTCCCCAAATTTAATAAGTTGTTTAAAAGAACAGCACCATGCAGATGCCTCATTTTGCATACTGATTTACTCAGACTGCTTTCTGCTCATTTTCCCCCAATTCCAGCCCAGATTTTTTATGAGAATATGAGAGTAACAGCCCTAGTTACCTGTTGGAGTGGTCACCATGCATTCTTTATATGGTAGCTGATTCAATCCCTCTTCCACAACAAGTCTGATCTAGAGAGTCAAAGGAAGAATAATTTGAGAACTTGCCAAGAATCTCCTGTTAGCTGTTAGCCTCAGGAGTTTAACACCGGGCAAAAAGTCAACAACATACTAGGCAAGGATTTAACTTATAGCAGTAGGAAGGGCGACCCTATCATGTGTTATATTCAGTTCAGTTCAGTTCAGTCTCTCAGTCGTGTCCGACTCTTTGTGACCCCATGGACTGTAGCACGCCAAGCCTCTCTGTCCATCACCAACTCCCAGAGTTTACTCAAACTCATGTCCATGGAGCCGGTGATGCCATCCAACCATCTCATCCTCTGTTGTTCCCTTCTCCTCCCACCTTCAATCTTTCCCAGCATCAGGGCCTTTTCAAATGAGTCAGCTCTTTGCATCAGGTAGCCAAAGTATTGGAATTTCTGCTTCAGCATTAGTCCTTCCAATGAACACCCAGGACTGATCTCCTCTAGGATGGACTGGTTGGATCTCCTTGCAGTTCAAGGGACTCTCAAGAGTCTTCTCCAACACCACAGTTGAAAAGTGGCAATTTTTTGGTATTCAGCCTTCTTTATAGTCCAACTCTCACATCCACACATGACCACTAGAAAAACTATAGCTTTGACTAGACAGAGCTTTGTTGGCAAAGTAATGTCTCTGCTTTCTAATATGCTGTCTAGGTTTGGTCATAGCTTTCCTTCCAAGGAGCAAGTGTCTCTTAATTTCATGGTTGCAGTCGCCATCTGCAGTGATTTTGAAGCCCCCCAAAATAAAGTCTGTCACTGTTTCCAGTTTCCCTATCTATTTGCCATGAAGTGATGGGACCAGATGCCATGATCTTAGCTTTCTGAATGCTGAGTTTTAAGCCAACTTTTTCACTCTCCTCTCTCACTTTCATCAAGAGGCTCTTTAGTTCTTCTTTGCTTTCTGCCGTAAGGGTGGTGTCATCTGCATATCTGAGGTTATTGATATTTCTCCCAGCAATCTTGATTACAGATGCTGCTTCATCCAGCCCAGCATTTTGCATGATATACTCTGCATATAAGTTAAAATAAGCAGGGTGACAATATACAGCCTTGACGTACTCCTTTCCCGATTTGGAACCAGTCTGTTGTTCCATGTCCAGTTCTAACTGCTGCTTCTTGACCTGCATACAGATTTCTCAGGAGGCAGGTGAGTTGGTCTGGTATTCCCATCTCTTGAAGAATTTTCCACATATTTCTGTGATCCACACAGTCAAAGACTTTGGCATAGTCAATAAAGCAGAAGTAGATGTTTTTCTGGAACTGTTAGATTTTCTGTTAGATTCAGAGATAGAACCAAATGTCATGTTGCTTGCTGCTAGGTATCCAACCTTGGTGAGGCACGTGATTGCCACTAAAGGCTCAGTATGCCTTCTGATTCTCATTCAGTTAGTCCAGGCTATATTATGAGAAATGCAAAACCACAGCAAGTGCAAGAGTATGGCAGGGACACTTGGACATAATATACTTCTGGTAACTCTGGAAATAGTGCTCACCGGGAACTGCTTTGCCTTGTTTATTTATTTTTTTTCAATTACAGTCCTTTCTTTTATTGGAGTTCCAAATTTTAAAAACTGAAAATAAAGCAATCATTCAGTGGTTCAGATAAAAGAAAAGCATCTTTACCTGAGTTACCCATCAGGCCTACTCTGATCTGCCCTAGCTCTTCCCAGAACAAGTTTCTGGGTATCTAAACAAAACTGTTTGCATGTCGACTCCATTAAAAGTCATCTCTACTACAGGGGTCAACTAACTATGAGAACAGTTCTCATACCTGTTAAATGTACACGGTTCACAGTTAGACCTCTATAGAGGTCTACAAAATGCTTTCCAGAGTAGTTTCTTTGGGGCCCAATAAGGTAGAGATTTCCTGCAAGGATTTTTTTTTCTCCCCTAGACTTAGGGTTATTTATAGGGTCTTTCACTTATACAAGTTCCCTGGTGTACAAGAACTGATCATTGACAGAAGTTTTCTCATTCAGAGAATTCATAAGGTCCTTCATCAGATTTTCTTTTTTTTTGGGGGGGGGGTTGCAAACCCAAGAAGGCTCTCCACTTAATGCTTTTGCCACATTCAAGGCAAATACACAAATTTTCACCTGTATGGCTTCTCTGATAGGTAATAAAGTCACAGTTATGTTAAGAGGCTTTTGTCACAACTGTTGGGGTTTCTTTCCAGTGGGGCTTTCTGACGTCCAATGAGGCGTGCATACTGTCTGAAGCACTGTTTCACAAGGCATTAAAAAATATCATCCTCTGATCTGAATTCTCTTGGAATGAGGAGAGGTGAGCATTGCTAGAGAGCTTTCTCACAGTCAACGAACTTGTAAGTTTCCCACCTGTATAAATCCTCTTGCGGGTGATCAGACATGAGCTTGGACTGAAGGTTTTCAAAAAACTCAGGGAATTTGTAAGGTTTCTCACTGGAGTGATTGATACAGTTCTGTAAAGACAGCTCTCTGGTCAAACCATTTCTCAAGTTCCTATAATTGCAGATTTTCTGGTCCCCAGTAAAATCTGGGCTCTGAGGAAAATCTGAGATTTGCTTTGAGTTCTCCATCTTAAATGAGTTATCTTACATTGTAAATACATCTTTTTCTGTTTGTTTGTTTATGGTATAATAACTTCTTGTCTGGTCAAGACATCTGTGAGGCTTCTGATACATGAGGAGGGCTGAGCTCAAGACCTTTCTCAGCCACATTACAGATATATGGTTTTTCACCGATGTGGACTGTCTGATGTTGAAGAAGCGCTGAGCTCTGGTGAAAGCTTTTATCACAGACACTGTATTTATAATGCAGCTCCTCTGTCTGAGTTCTCATTTTCTGTTGAGCAATGAAGTCCATGCCTAGGAGGAAGCCACTCTCACATGCAGACCACTGATGTGGTTTCTCTTCCATGTGAATTCTTTGATGCACAATAAGGTCTGAACTACAGCTGAAGCTCTTCTCATATTCAAGGCATTTAAAAGTGTGAGTGCGAGTTGCCTGGTGCCTGATTAAGTTGGCACTCTGAGTAAAACCTCTCATACATTTCAAGCATTTATACGGCCTCTCACCTGTGTGAACTCTCTGGTGTACAATAAGGTCTGATTTCTGGCCAAAGCATTTCTCACAGGCACCACACTTATAGGGCTTCTCCCCAGTATGTACTATTTTATGAACAATGAAGGCTGACCGATGTCGGTAACTTTTCTCACACTTATTACATTTGTAGGGTCTTTCACCAGTATGAGTTCTCTGGTGGCTAATAAGATCAGATTTCCCACTAAAAGCTTCTTCACACTCCAGACACTTAAATGGTTTTTCACCCGTGTGAGTTCTTTGGTGCCTTATGAGGTTTGTACTTCAGCTGAAGCATTTATCACACTCACTACACAGATACGGTTTCTCGCCTGTATGGCTTCACTGGTGGACAAGCAGATCAGAGCTCTGACCAAAATTCTTGCCACAGATATCACATGTATAGAATTTTTTTACCTGCATGCGTTCTCTGGTGTCCTGAAAGGGCTAAGTGGTGCCAAAAGCTCTTCTCACATTTGCTACATTTATAAGGTTTCTCATAACTGTGGATCCTCTGATGTGAAATAAGATCTGAGCTTTGGATGAAGGTTTTCTCACACATATCACATCTATAAGGTTTATCCCCAGTGTGGGTTCTCTCACACATAGTAAGAGCTAAGTTTTCACAAAAGTTTTGCTCACGTTCAAGGCACTGATATATCTGATCATCTATTTGAGTAATCACATGCACATGAATAAAAATAATTTTACCCTTCTGAGGGCATACATGATATATTTTCCTTTTTTGAGTTCTCTGATTAAATCTCTCTTCTGAAGTGTACATTTTCTATGGCTCTCTCCTATGGAGTTTTCCACTGGTCTTCCTGACCCATCATTTTCTTCATAGTCATTTTTTTGATAAGAACTTGAAAGATACATCTGTTTTAAGCCTTTCAGTCATGAGTAGTTCCTCTCTACAAGTTTCCAGCATCACATGCACTCATTCTTCATGTGGTATTTACAACCCACAACAAGAAAGACTCAAGACTGTCTTCCTTTTGGCTCCAAAAGGTCTCCAGTCCATAGTTATTAACAATACTCAATTCTTCCCTTTCCCCGGCTGCGGCCGGCACTGCCCCTCCACCTGGGAGGGCACTTCCGGTTACTCCTAGGACACTCGGGGTTTGGCTTTCCCAGCGGCCGCAGGGTCCGGACGGTGGACCTAAGGGCCCACCTTCGGGAAAAGAAGGAAAGCAAACCTTGGAGGCCAACGAGAGCCAGGAGCATCCTTCTTTGCACAGCTCGGCGAGGGTAGCTGGGGCCAGGCCATCCAGTATGCGATTTAGAGCCAACAAGGCCAGCTAGCTTCCCAAGCTCTTTCAGCCTGGCTGGGAAGTGGCCGGCGCCGCTTTGCCTTGTTTAGTACTTTTAAATAGTTAAGGTGGATGCTTTTTAACAAAGGCCCACCATGATGAGAAATAAAGCCTGAATTTCTTAGGAGGAAATAAGTGAGTGGATGGAACTGAACCAATTTACTGAGCCTGAAGTAGGATCCAGTTGAATGTATTAGGACTTCAGCTTTAAAAAAAAAAAGGCTCCTAATGATCTTAATGTGTATAAAGCAAAGAATCCATCAGAACTACAAGGAATATCCTTGCAGTTACATAATATCCAAAACCCATCAGATAGTCCTACGAACATCCAGAGACCACTACAAAAAGGCAGTGCTGAGTCTGTAGAGCACATTTTCTCCAATCAGTATTATATTACTGATTAAGAACAGCAGGGAGAAATGTCAAGCCCTATGCTCTGTTATCACAACAAAACACCCTGCTGCCATTAAAATGATAAATGTTAAATAGGCCGCACTGTGTCAACCTGGAGTACCAGAGGGTCTAGGAACCTCATGAATACTGTGTGTGTGTGTGTGCATAGTCACCTCTAGCCACCACCATCTGTGGGGACTAATGTTTCTTATTAGCAAAGTACAAGGAAAGAAGAGGATCATTTTCTTTGAAGAGCCTTGTTTTCCTTCTAGCAATACTACTCTAAAAAATCTTACCACCTGCCCATCTCCTGCAACTTTGGGACAAGAATTAGTGTGTCCAAGCTTTACAGGAGAACATAAACCAGAAGAAGGGTTTAACCTATTCTCAAGAGTTAAAATTCAAAATCTGAGTGCCAGGAAAGCCAATCCTGACAAACTCAAGACAGAATTAATGTCAACTATAATAGGACCCTTGTGCTAGAAGAGACAGTATACTAGAAATTCCCATCACCAGAAACCTCAACAGCTCCAATCCCTACCACAACCACAACTGACCTTCCACACCTTCCACCCCCAATATCAGGATCTTCAAATCCAACTGCAAAGAACAGAGAGGTCCAAAATTACCATCCACTCAGGTGAATTTTGCCCTGGGTCCTTATTATCTCATTTGACTAAGATATAATACCTGCCCTTTCAAGCAAGCATTTTGTAATAACCATGATCTTAATTCCTATGTTCTATAGGAAAATGGCACAAGGAGAGCAAAAGAAAGAGAGAGAAATCATTTTGTATCAGTGAATACCAAGATCTCTGTTTTTCCCCACAGCAGCCACTGATACAGCTATCTTGAACCCTTTGGTTTGATAAAAGCAAACTATCACTCCAAGAATGTCAACTACATTTATCTTGATGCAATCCAAGGATTTTTACTGCCCCTGGAAGCTCAAATAGAAGTGGCCTTTGAACCAAGAATACTTAAAAGTCAAAAGTAGAATATGTACTGTCTACACTCTTTTGGAATAAAGATTTCCTTAGGAAAAATGTAAATGAAGAGTTTCATACCTCCCCCCACCAATATCATCACATTCCCTTTAATAATCTGTCTTCTACTATCTGGTTATAATTATAAGCTTAATAAATCACTTTTCTTTCTTTCCTAGACTAAACAATGAGAACAGTATTTAGACTGTAAACCACACAAGATCAAGGACCATGTCTTTATGCTTTACCACTCAATCTCCTCCCACCTACAACACAGTCTGGCACAGTGTCTGACTCACATGAGTTCAATGTATATTTCATGAAGTGATGAATACTAGCAACCACAGCAGAACATATGTCAACCTCATTCCAAGCACTAAACAAACTTAGATATACACACAAGAAGTAAAAAGGGCTTACCTAAGACAGCCCAATTTGGCCTGAGATCCTCTCAGATGACACTAGCTAAACAGAATTGGGCTTGGTCAATCCTTAACAGGAATTCCCTAAGTGTAGACAGTATCCACATGTGAAGATACTACAGAAAACAAGAGGCAAAATAGATATCCATCCCCATGTAAACTATAAGATAGCTATTAGCTTTTGTGCATTCTATGGACACCACAAGGGTAACTACTAGGTCTCTTTACATCTTTGGTTTCCTTTTAATTTACTTCACTTCACTGGCCTAAGAAGAGGTACTTAAGACTCAGGATCAAGTTACCAAGATCCTCTTGAAAAGTAGTGGTACGTCAGAACTATAGACAGTGAGTTTGTAGGCAATGATTTGAGGTGAATGGGACTGAGAGTTTTAATGCAAAAGTAGAAACAACACTTGCAAAGTCTAGCAAGATGTTACTTGGTACCATCTCTCTCAACCCCAGAATGTTCTCAAACAAAAAGCCCTTGGGCTACTATGATTATAACACTAGGAACAACAATGAAATGAAAATTGAAAGCCTCCATCCACCTACCAAACGATCCGCAGAAAACATGAAGTCCCCTCTACTGGCTGTCCTAAAAAAAAAAAGTACAAGTTTTAGTCTAGATTAGAGCTTTAAAGTGAAATATTACTTAACATATATACAGTAACAATGATATTAAAACCTATTACATGCTAAAAGCTTATTTGTAATAGACTATTATTGAGACTTGATATTTTTCACTAGGATACAGGAACCTAAATGGAATGACTTGATAAGTATTATTGAAAATGCTCATCTGATTATCATTAGAGACAGAAATTGAAAAGATCACGTAGCCTCCCACTGAACTGCTCAAGTATATACTCTTCACCCAGATGATGAACAAGTTCCCCCTGGAAAATGGCAGCATATCCAGAGCTCAAGTTAAGAAAAAAATTTTGCAGTAAGAAAACCAGGTTCTCCCCATTCTCACACACCATTCACCCCAATCTAAAATCCTTATTACCAACATAAGTAACAGTCTGCTTTGCCTCTAATTCTTTTTGGAATGAGAACTGTACAAACAAGTTAATCCTCTATTTTGTTATTGCTTCCAAGAACACATAAGCTAATTAACAAGACCTCTTTCTCAAACTATTGATAAATTTTTCTGTTTTTCAATCAAATAGCTTATTCCATAGATCTTTCTACCAATTTCCTGTACAATTCCTTCTGGTCAGTATTTTCAGATCCTGAGGTACCCAAGTAATAATAATCCAGGGTGGCACCTACCCACAAACTGTTAAACAACCAAAAGAGAAATGTTGTAAGGGTGACATTTTTTTTCTTTTGTAAAAATCTATTATTGTTCCTCCTCTTCTCATGTAAGTTAAATGACCTGACTGATTTACAGTTTATATACTTAAAAATCTCCACCTGCCTGCCCATTGCATACCTAAAATATTCCCCAACATAGCATCAAAATGACATATGTGAGCCCATTTAGTATCAGTATACCCATTAATCACAACTCTTTTTCAAGCTGCATTTACTTTCTCTGGCAGGAAAAAGCAATGAAATATCCCTTACACAATGGTGTTAGGTTTCTTAGAGTAACCACAGTTCTTTCATTATTACAGATACTAACTCTCTAAAATATAGCAAGAATATAGGTCTAGGTCTGTATTCTTTATATATAAATACTCCCTAAACTCAGAAAACTCTATCCACATGACTACACACAGAGAGCTCATTTAAAACAGTCTTTAGGGGCTCCCCTGGTCGCCCAGTGGTAAAGAACTGCCTGCCAGTGCAGGAGACACCAGTTCAATCCCTGATCCGGGAAGATCCCACATGCAACAGAGCAACCAAGCCCATGTGCCATAACTATTGAGCCTGTGCTCCAGAGCCCAGCAGCCACAACTACTGAAGTGCACACACCCTAGAGCCCATGCTCCACAACAAGAGAAGCCACTATAATGAGAAACCCCTGCATGGCAGCTACAGAGTAGCCTCCACTCACTGCAACTAGAAAAAAGCCTGTACAGCAACAAAGATCCAGCACAACCAAAATAAATAAATAAATAAAACAGGCATTATTTTATGTATTGTGGTTTTCAAATAAAAATATACTATTACATCAGCACCTTTCATTTCTATAACAAGTCTTCACAACATGCTTGTCAAAGAAATAAGTCAGTGAACCACACACACACACAAAAAAATACTTAAGACTACTACCCTGTTTGGTAGACCTACACAAACTTATGTAAGCAGCCAGAACACAGTTTTTCAATAGGGTAGAAAAGTCTAGATTCTTTAAGAAAAGTCTTAAAAAAATATCCAGTAATATATTTTGAGAACACACCTGAAATGTTTGTCTTTAATTTCTGATCAGTTACACATAAATATATTACAAAGAAAATTTATATTAGGTTAAATGATTGGAGTTGCTCAAATTCATTATTTTACTTTAGAATAAGACATTTTAACATATTCACACTCTCCTTAAAAATACCAGCTTCAGTTGACAACTTCTGCATGATAAAACATTTCTCTACATTTCAAAAAAAGTACACGATGTGAGAACCTAATAAGAACCACCATCTCTTGATAGTTATTTGACTTCCAGTAAAATTCAAAGTCATCCCACTACAAACAGTAATTACTAACCTATACACTGCTGTTTTTGACAGACTTCAGACTCATTCCATTTACTTTGAATCAATCTAGAAATTAAAGTAAAGCTAGAATACAGCAAGTTGGTTGCATTTTAAACAAAACCCACAGTGGTCTTTAATATCCACATCTAAATCCTTTACATTGTTAACACCAGAGTTTCATTAAGCAGATATTTCCTGTTAGATCAATCAGTTGCATATAATCTCTAGGCCCCTACTTTACACCCAACACTGGACTAAAGTATGTGTTAATAAAGATGTTTTAATGTAAACCAGATCCCAGGTCTTATTCACTCTATATACTTCATTTCAAATCATAACTCTATTCACCTCTGTCTCAAAACCATTTTTTTTTTCTTTTATTTATTTATTTATTTATTTTTTTCATTTATTTTCATTAGTTGGAGGCTAATTACTTTACATCATTGCAGTGGTTTTTGTCATACATTGAAATGAATTAGCCATGGATTTACATGTATTCCCCATCCCGGTCCCCCCTCCCACCTCCCTCTCCACCCGATCCCTCTGGGTCTTCCCAGTGCACCAGGCCCGGGCACTTGTCTCATGCACCCAACCTGGGCTGGTGATCTGTTTCACCCTAGATAATATACATGTTTCGATGCTGTTCTCTTGAAACATCCCACCCTCGCCTTCTCCCAGAGTCCACAGTCTGTTCTATACATCTGAGTCTCTTTTTCTGTTTTGCATATAGGGTTATTGTTACCATCTTTCTAAATTCCATATATATGTGTTAGTATACTGTAATGGTCTTTATCTTTCTGGCTTACTTCACTCTGTATAATGGGCTCCAGTTTCATCCATCTCATTAGAACTGATTCAAATGAATTCTTTTCAATAGCTGAGAAATATTTCATGGTGTATATGTACCACAGCTTCCTCATCCATTCGTCTGCTGATGGGCATCTAGGTTGCTTCCATGTCCTGGCTATTATGAACAGTGCTGCGATGAACACTGGGGCGCATGTGTCTCTTACAGATCTGGTTTCCTCAGTGTGTATGCCCAGAAGTGGGATTGCTGGGTCATATGGCAGTTCTATTTCCAGCTTTTTAAGAAATCTCCACACTGTTTTCCATAGTGGCTGTACTAATTTGCATTCCCACCAACAGTGTAAGAGGGTTCCCTTTTCTCCACACCCTCTCCAGCATTTATTGCTTGTAGACTTTTGGATAGCAGCCATCCTGACTGGCGTATAATGGTACCTCATTGTGGTTTTAATTTGCATTTCTCTGATAATGAGTGATGTTGAGCATCTTTTCATGTGTTTTTTTGCCATCTGTATGTCTTCCTTGGAGAAATGTCTGTTTAGTTCTTTGGCCCATTTTTTGATTGGGTCATTTATTTTTCTGGAGTTGAGCTGGAGGAGTTGCTTGTATATTTTTGAGATTAATCCTTTGTCTGTTGCTTCGATTGCTATTATTTTCTCCCAATCTGAGGGCTGTCTTTTCACCTTGCTTATAGTTTCCTTTGTTGTGCAAAAGCTTTTAAGTTTCATTAGGTCCCATTTGTTTATTTTTGCTTTTGTTTCTAAAATTCTGGGATGTGGGTCATAGAGGATCCTGCTGTGATTTATGTCAGAGAGTGTTTTGCCTATGTTCTCCTCTAGGAGTTTTATAGTTTCTGGTCTTACATTTAGATCTTTAATCCATTTTGAGTTTATTTTTGTGTATGGTGTTAGAAAGTGTTCTAATTTCATTCTTTTACAAGTGGTTGACCAGTTTTCCCAGCACCACTTGTTAAAGAGGTTGTCTTTTTTCCATTATATATCTTTGCTTCCTTTGTCAAAGATAAGGTGACCATAGGTTCGTGGATTTATCTCTGGGCTTTCTATTCTGTTCCATTGATCTATATTTCTGTCTTTGTGCCAGTACCATACTGGCTTGATGACTGTGGCTTTGTAGTATAGTCTGAAGTCAGGCAGGTTGATTCCTCCAGTTCCATTCTTCTTTCTCAAGATTACTTTGGCTATTCGACATTCAAAACCATTCTTTAAAAAAATCTATCATACTGGAAACAAAGTTTTGAGGGATATTTTAATCATTTTGTATCTGATAACTTTCCCAAATAAAATCTAATACAAGATCATCACAAAACAACAAACACACTGACACACACCCCTGGATTATTGTATAATATATTCAAATATTTAAACAGTGATATCCAGGCGCTCATAATTCAAAGTACAGAAATCTAATTAATGTTGAGCACCTTTTAAGTTGTGTGAACTCCAAACAGGATTAATAATGCAGACCTAACCATATCTGAGAAAAGTGTCAATTTATCTTGACACTTTGCCCAACAAATGTGCCACACATCTGTAGTAACAAAATGAAAAATGAAAGCCAAAGATACCATTAAAAAAAAAGTTCTTCACAGCGAAACAACAAAAGAATGAGAATCAGGCCAGAAACCATATCCTCACTTCAATGTGGATTTGGTAAATTGGACTCTTCCCTACTTGAGACAGTGTATAAAGCACTTTAAAGTTTCCAGAGAAGCTATAGCAATTGTATATAGTCTAAAACATGGACATCTCAAAGCAGACCCAAACCAAGATGAAATCAGGAGAAATCTCTGACCTTTCTTTCAAAATGGGCCAATAGGTATTTACTTATCATCCACAACATATGGAACTATGAGAGGAATGTTATATAATATGAAAAAATTAAGACTTCAAGTAGAGATCTTCTCCTCTCTTCTTAGACCTCACTACTACTAACTACTTTGTTATTGCTGCTGCTGCTGCTGCTACTACTACTACTACCACCACCACTAGAGGAATTCTCTAATATTTTAGAAGACATCCTCTCCTGGGGCAATTACAATTTCAATTTCTACAGCAAAAACTGTCATTTGATCACTACCTGCTACTTATCTATTCAAAATAAACTTGAAAACCTCGCCTCTTTATAA